GAGCACAAATGTGTTAACAAAGCTGATCTTTTAACCACTTTATTGTATTTTTACAATAATAAAAATAAATTAGTCACACACAAAAATAGTTGTCATTTTGGCTGAAGAGAAAACAGACTGTATTTACTCATATAATTCACCTTCCACCCTCCATCTCCTTAAACAATAATTTAACATCACAAGGGTGACACCAGTCGATGGAGTGTTCAGGTGGCTCCTTGCTCCTGACTATGCAGTTAGCTGACAGGACGACCCAGGGCGCCCCCTCAGCAGTGCCTAGAGGGGGCCCTGGAGGCATGGTCAGGTCAGTAAATGCATCTTTATGACCCCTCTGGCCCAGCAAGTAGACTCTGCCTCATCCATGGCTCTAACCAAGCCTCCCACAGCTTACTGCTAGGGATTCTAATGAAGGAGGCAAGACAGAGAAGAGATGGAAAGATGCTCGTATTTCCTTCTCCGGGTGTTTGGGGATGAAGAGAGGGCAAATTATATGAGCAAATATAATATTTAAGATGGAAAGGTGGCAATCCAGACAGACCTGTTTCAGGTACAATGCCAGGGGTTAAAAGCCCCAGAGCAAGTCGAAAAGCAGAGTAATTTATATTCGATCTTAAAACCCAAGGAGTTTGACTAATCAGTATACTAAATTGTAACTATGGATTTAGGATAAGACATTATGTAGCAACTTTCCAGGAAGCTGGGTTAGTAGGAGCAAATGATTTTACACAAATTGGGATTGCATATGTAAATAAATACCTATTAGGTCCCTTTAAAATTAACATACTCTAAATAAGAACTATTTTGGTGTAGTGACTCATTCTGCCAATAGAGTTCAGAATACACATTTCCTATAAACATCTTGTATTTACAAAGAACAAATAATAAGTTATAACAAAGTATATCCTTCTGTCAAACTGAATGGTGGAGGTCTGGGGGGCAAGGCAGGTGCATTAGTTTATGTAACAGAATGGCTTTCCTCTCACTGAGGCAAAGGCTCAATGTCTGGAAGATGGTGAGAAAGGTGGTTGGAAGTTCCCAGCCCCTCAAGGTCACTTTTCCTCAGTCTGGAAGAAGTCTCCCACTGGAACCCACTGGATAGAACCAGGACGGTGGACTGTTCAGGGTGGAGAGAATTACTTTGTTCCAGGAAAGGTGCAGGAAAGCAAGATGAGTTGAGAAAGAAAGATGGTATTACAAGGTCCTAGTCTAACAGAGTCTCTGTCCCATCAAAGTGTGCGGCCCTGGGCATGGAACTGTCCATTCAGGATGTTTGGTTACTTATCTACAAAGCAGGACCAGTCAGGGCAGCTCTGACCAATTTGCTAGTGGTTCTCTGGTGGCCACATTTAGCTCAGGGAGGGGAACAACACCCGGGCAAAATGGCAGACACAGAAATGGGAAGCAGGTGTGCCTGCGCTTGTCCCAGGCCTGGGGAATCATTTAAAGCTGTTCTACTTATAGAGTCACCCAAACCCAGACTTGGTAAGGATCTTAAAAGTCATGTTGCCCAGCTGGACGCTTGAATCCCCTCTCCAGCGTCCCTGACAAAGGGCCCTTCAGCCTCTGCTGAGACCTCCAGTGGTGGGTTAGTCAGCACTGACCAGGGAGGCTCTTCCTTCCAAATGCTCTAACTTCTGCAAGAATTAAAATCTGCCTCCTTGTAGCTTTTATCTCCGGGTCCTGGATAGCTATCCCAAAGACTGCAGGCTAAACATTCTCATAAAGTCCTTTTCCCTGTTTTGAACAGCCTGTGTCCCCATCAGGACATGTCACACTCATCTGAATGTTACACACCAGCAATACTCTTCTTAAAGTTTCCCACAATTGCAAGCACAATGTGGTATGCTCCCACCAGTGTTTTCTCCTTGTGTAGCCTAAGTGTTTTGTATTTAATTTTGTTTTGGTTCCATCCCACTTTCCTGACTCACACTGAGCTTAGTCAACTGAAACTCTTACATCGTCCCCAACTTGTACTTGTATAGTACTTTTTTTAACCCGAAGGTAGGACTTTATGTTGCTTCCTGGTCAACAGTCTCCCAGATGTTTTTGGGTCCAGAACCTGGCACCCAAGCTGTTAGCTCTCCAATGTCAATGTCATCTACAAGTTTCATCAGTAAGGCATTATTTCCCCACTTCAGCCATATTAAAAGTGTTTCATATGGCACGGAACAAATGTTGGCCTCCATCTGCCAAGCTGATATAAGCTCCTTCAGTTTTGAGTATTAAGCCCGTTTTAAGGTAGCTCCTGTTTCTTTTTATAGGTTATATTTGTGTCTTCTTCCACATTAGAAAACTGATATTTAAAACTCTAAAGTGGCCACATTAAAAAAAAAATAGGTTTAGAAAGGTACTAGTAATATCAGTAATATTTGGATCCCTCTCTCTGCCACACAACTTGATGGAAATAAGTTAAGCTTGTTTCCCTTTTTTCATCCATCCGTTTGTTTCAAAGGAAAAAGAGTGCTGAATGCTAAACACTTTGAGGGTAAGTAAAAGATACATACTCAGGGAAATGAAAAAGGAAAACTCAAAAGAACCTCGGACCAGAGAAGTAAGGCAAAGGTGGGTACAGTCCAGAGAGCTCCTGTCAGGCTGCAGGCCCCTGAGGGCAGAGGCCTGGCTCACCTCTGCTCTCCACCAGCTGGTCCGCAGAGGCGCCCAAGATGCCTTTAAGGAACTGAACTGGCTCCCTCTAGTGGTGGGCCTTGCACGCGTTTTATAAAAGTGGAAGCGCAAACTATTTCTGCTCACAGCTCTGTTGATGTTTGTGAGAAAAATATACAACAGTTTAAATTCACCTAATTTAAAAATTCATGGCAGGGAATGAGGCAATCTAGTACAAGGAAAAAAAATCAGTATAAAGTGAAAATTTCAATTTTGCATTGTGGCCAGTGAGAGGAGCATGGAGAGGGCTGAGAAGGGGGTAGTAGGTAGTGGAGAGGAGAGGGCAAAAAAAGGGGGTGCAGGAAAGGGAGAGTGAGACATATCTGGAGGGAGTGAGTCATCGGAAGGTGAGTTTTCCTTAGACTCCCTCCCTGGGCAGGTCATCACTGGATATACCAAAGAATTTTATCAGATGTACTGTGCTAAGGACAAAGGCATTTTGATGCTGACATGAGAAGCTAGGAAATTAGTAAAAATTAGATTTCTAATACAAATACGTTGATAAAATCTCTGTTCTAGTAATTTATAACCTTTCCAGAGATAAATGAATTCCAAGAATAGCTCAGCTATTTGTTGGAAGAGAAAAAAGTCCCCTAGTTTAGGTATTTTTTCCCTCTGAAGTCAAGAGATCGATCCATTTGCTCCTACCCAGTTCTCAGCTGGCAGGGTGGTCATTCTCGTGGGAGGATCACTGTGCTTTTAAAGAATTGTTAGGTAACATTTGGGAACCATAGGACATTGTCAGATGTCAAAGAGACAAGCCATCATTGACCACCGTGAGATGCTGAGGTGGAAGGACTGGGGCTGCTCATCTTCCACGTGACAAAGAAATCCCAATTAGGATGGAGAACACACTCATGAATGGTAGCCATGCCTTAGTTGGGCAGCTTGTCTGGCTACAAGGTTTTCCCTTAATATGAGCTGAAATCAGCCTTCCTGCTCTCCCACCCATTGATCCTGCCCCGCCCTCCAGCGTGTAAAGACAGCCTCTTTGAAGTACTTCAAATGCCTGGCCTGTTCGGCAGGACCTGAGAGCAGCTGCATCAAGGAAAGCCCCCCTTGCGACTAGAAGCAAAAAGCTTGTGAAAGGAAGAGGGTGGGCACTGGAGGAACTCGCTCATACACTTGGTGGGCATGCGGACTGGGGCTTCTTCCTGCCTGCTTCTCTGCATGAGTCCCATAAGAACCGGGAGAGATGGGGGTGTTTCTGGGAAGTGGTGGCTGGGGCTCCCCAAGAAGAGGACGGCCATAGGAAAGCCAAAGAGAATTTCTGAAAGCTCAAGGGCAGTGGGAACCTAACAGACTGTGTCAGACCTGGCTGGTGATAATGCTTCCAAAAGCTGCACGTGATCCTCTAATTAGCAGATTTCTGGTTCAAAGGGCTCATGGGAGAAACTCAATTGCTAAGGCTTGCTTTAAAAGGGAAATAGGCCCAGGACCATGATACAATTTCTGTAAGCTTACAATTTGTTTAGCTTGGTACTTTTCTTAATGGGTGAAAGAAAAAAAAGTAGACATATTTTCTATTTTCTTCTTAATGAATTTTTCAAAGAGTTCACCTTTCAATAGGTACTACTCCCCAACCCCCCCCCCCCC